GCACATCTGATATTGGCATTTCAAATATGAAATCAAGCGCCGAGGTCGGAACACTTAGCGCCGAGGTCTCAAGTAAAGCGCCGAGCTTCACAAGTATAGCGCCGCGGACCTCAGGCGCTAAAAAGTCCCTGGGGAGAACCCTGAGTGTCTACAAGAGAACTGGTGATGGTTGTAAAACCATAACCGCCTCAGCTCAAAGATTGTTATGTAATACAGGGGAATGTGAAGGGAAATGTATTTTATTAATGTTACCTCTGTGTAATTTACAATATATCTGCATTAACCTTCACTGTGAAGTACAATATGGGAGTTGACTTAAGGTAGAGATGCAGTTTACTTGACAGGTATTTTAATTAATTAATTAGGAAACCAAGATGACCTCCCTTGTCCACAAAACTATATATTTTCGAAAAGTTTATGACTGGTAGAAGCAAGGCTGGTCAAATTTTACGAAACAGTAGTTAGAATTTCCAGATACGCAATCGACACATTGTGGGATATCAAAATATAGATGATAAACAGTGAGTGATATTTCTAGAGATATAGTTGGAATTGAAGCAAAGGAGTGGCCTATTGATCCATGAAACATACTCACACATATCCGTACATATCATCCTGTCTTATTGTGTGTGGGCAAAGCTGTCATGCACACAATCGGAAAAATATGTTATTACTGTAAATAATTATGAACAATAAAAACTGAAATTTAGAAAAACTATGAACAATTAATAAGGAAAATATGTGATTTGCTGTACAGTTTCCAGAAAATTATTACAAGTTTCAGAAGTATATACAAGTCGTCAAAACGTACAGTTTGGCGACCGTTGGGAATGATACTAAGATTTAACAATTCAATGAGAATATCACAATGTTCTTTTAACACATAAAACAACTTAACTGTGCATTGGTCGAATTTTGTATAGTTTCAATAGGCATACAAGCAACTGTATACATTTTGACAATAAACTTCTCATTCACATTGTGCAAATACAAACAAGACATTAAACCTTCTTGATAGTAACTAGTAAGTGTTGTATAAACCCAAATGAAAAGTCTGGAGTCACGGCGAATACTTCTAGCGAGTCACCTCTCTAAAAACGTCATTACTGTGCCAATGACATTGAACTTTGCTCTTCCATAAAGCAGTAGTTTCCATCCACCAACGCGTGTCGTTTTGAAAACGGCGTTTTACCCTCATCTTGCAAGATAATGGAATGATTCTAATTGTGGGCGTGCCAATACAACGGCGCCATCAAGTCTAGATTGGAAAAGACCCAAGTGTTTTGCAAAATTTCAAGATATATTGCTAACTGCTTGTTCGAATAATTCTCAGAACGGCTGTAATAGAGAGTTTAGGATTTGCGTATGTAATGGGAATGTAACGTGTTGCTCTAATTTCGTTTGCTTTACGTTGTCGGGTGTCAGAAAACGATAAAGTACAAGCATTCACAACGGGAACGTAACTGAAACCAGAACCATGTCAATCCGTCTCTCATTGGGTACCATAATATAACTATCCAATGAAATTTATTATGTCATTTCACGTCCGGAATCTGAATTAGTAGTTAGTTCCCAGACATTTGACAGAGCTCTCGCTATTTCCACTCACTCTGCTGAGGTCACAGGCCTGTTTGGTCAATCCTTTCAGCAAATCAATGTCGTGCATTTTCAGTGGGTGTCAGTATCAGCTAAAATGCATCCAATATTTCTTATTTCATCATAAATATACAAAATCACTCTAATATAAATGTAAAACGTTTTATCAATGTCAGTAAAAATTATTCAACATTGACAAGAAGAAATGATCTCGAAAATCAACCACGAGTCAGTCACATTGATCACGTTCAAAACAACTGTCATACGACCAGGCAACTGATGACGTCATTGGTTCACGTGGAGGTCATGCACAAATCAGTGACGTATCCGTTCTCGTTCTGTTCTTGTATGCGCATCTTAATGTCTCTAATAAGATGCCCGTACGATAACGGATACGTCATTACTTTACTGATATTTACACCCACTGAAAACGTACACAATTGGTCAGCTCGTTATGTAAACAAAGCAGACAACGCTGAGCATTTATGTTCACTTTCTCGAATAATGTCAGTCATCAACTTTTTTGATCAGAAATTTGATGAGTCTGATGCTAGAGACCAGTGCCAACTGGTGTGTGCAGATCCCTGCTGTATACATTAACAAACAAAAGTACAGCAAATCCAGGAAGAGTTACATTTAGAACTGCAACTACACAT